GCACGGTGCGCACGACGTAAGTAAAGGGACCTCGTGGAATTCAACGGCTCGTGCGATCGCTTCGGATGAGCAGGGATTGCCTGTCAGACGCACGCGCGCGCGCGCGCTTAGAACACGCATCCGCATGTACGCTACGCGCTCTTCCGAACCACCATCACGAATGAATGCATCCATCATTGCCATCCTCCTCGGCAACTTGAGAGGCGTGTCACACATTGCCAAACGAAACGGTGAAATCAGGCTGATCTACCAAAACAAACGAAAAATGACGGAGCGTTGACATCCATCTGACCGTAGACACCGTGCCGCGCGCCAAAGCTGCGTCCACTTGCACGACCTCGATGGATCTTGCCTTGTGCGCAGCAATCCGAAAGCCGCCAAGAAATTTATTCCTAGCGGCTTTGCGCCAAGCAGTCAGATCGCGTGGTCCCCCGTGCAGCGGCAAAGATGGAGAGGAGCATGTGATACGTAGTCGGGCGTGTCAAATAAAAATCTCCACCTCAGCAAGTCGCTGTGAGGTGCCTCGAGATCGGCCTGCTCGTGGCGCTATCGCTAATTCAGAATGCAGACGCGTGAGAGACCGTGGAGAAAGGGAAGTGCAAGTCGAAGAGTACTAGCCAGCTTTGGACGTATCGAAGCCTTCTCTTGCATTGAAGCGCTCAACAATTTGAGGTGCCATTTTGCGCAAGTTTTCGGCAATTGGCTTCATTTGCTCTTGATTGGCAACTTGTTGAACGTCTTCAACCGTGAGGAAAGGGGCTTGAGGTTTTGCGGCTACGAGGTCCAGGAATTCCGGGCGCAGTTGTTGAAGCGCGTGGGTAGTCGGGGCCGAGGGGCCGTCCAAGTCCGGAGACTCCTCTCCACAATGGTACGCATCCGCAAATAACAAGCTGTGCAGGCATGCGAAAAGAGGTAATAGGCGCGCACTGTACAGTGCTGCCTCAGCGAACATGTCCATGATGACCAGCTGTTCCACCTGCGTCGCTGCCTCCAGCAGGTACAATAGACGACCTGCGAGGCTATTGGGCGATGCGTCGTCAATGAGTTTCCGGGGCGGAAAAATCTGCCTTGCGTCCCCAGAAGTCGCATACTCTGCGCGTAACGACTCCGCGTCCCATTCATCGACGTTAAAATCAGCTGCGTCTACCCGTCCCGCGTCATCGTGCTGCCACTCCACAGAGATTGTGAGTTTTTCAGCTTGCTTTATGAGGAGGGCGTAATAGGCTGAGATCAAGGTCCATCAGCAAAGTATTCCCACTGCTACGGCAACAAAGCGCTCGAACGCCTCACATGGGATTGGTATGTGGGTGTCGTTACTAGTGCAGCCAGCATTCCGAACCCCGCAGTCAACGATTTGCGCTCCGATGCTTAGTTCCTTGACGCATCCCAATTCGGCAATGCGTGTGACCGCTTCCTCCGAGAGCCTCCAGGCTCTCTCATCGCAAATCAACCGTGCAGGCCTGCACAGCTCAAGCAGACGCAGCAAAGCCTTTTCGTAGTCGTTGTAATTTTCCATGTTTGGTATGAGACCCTTGCCGAAAGGTCCATTGCGACCTGCAAGAGCGTCCTCTGTCTTTGTCCAATCGGCATCTGGAGTTTCGAATGTGAAGGCATCCGAATCATAAAAGTCTGCCGGTTCCTTCCATGGCCATCCTTCTTTGTCTTGATTGGCACAAAGGTCACACAGATGGCGCAAAGGACAAGGGGGAAGAGGCGACTCAGGCCGTCCTTGCTCGACTGCTCTTTGTTTGCGCTGAGCAAGCCGTTCCACAATTTCTGAGGTGAGGAGGTTCTCATGGTCGCTGTATAGCCGTCGTAGAATACGCCGTCTGTCCATAAAGACGCGGGTCTCTATGGGGGGAATTGACCTGATATCCGGATCGAGAAAGGCGCATCGCGAGCCTCCTGGGCTCCACAGTTCCGGTGCAAACGCGTTGTACGACAAGTGCTCTTCTCCGGTGTTCACGCTCTGGACCTCATCACAAAGCCAAGGAAGGGCTTCTAGGCTCTCGATCTGACCGAGGATACGATCCATGCGCGCGGTCAAGTGACGCCAATTCTTTCGCATGATGTATGCAAAGCATGCTGGAGACTGCGGGAAATGCGTACGGGTTAGGCTTGCATGATGTCGGTGTGTGTGCGTCGCTCGTCCTGTAGTGGAGAACTCACAGCGGAGAGAAAAGGAAGCCATCTGTTCCTTGGCAGACCCCTGCTCCGCGGATCCCGCCAGTCATAAGGGTGCACGTGGTCGAGTATGAGCTGTAGCACCTCCAGGGGTAGCTCAGCAAAGGGATCTGACATGATGTCGCTTCTGCCTTGCCGGGTGAGTCACGCGAAGGCAGCTGGTCCCCGAAGGGTCCCCGAAGGGCCTCCTTTATGTGTGGTGATGACCGAACCAGCGTTCTTGAAGGCACCAAAGTCCAACTCGCGGCGCTCTCTGATCAGAGGGCGGGGCCAAGGCGTGCGTCTATCAGAGGATCCGACTTCAAGCGGACTTAACCTTGAACGATTGATCCTTAACGAACGCTTCAGAAGCGCATCTGATAGCTGCCGTAGTCACGGTAGCATGTGGTAGTGCTGAACGCGAAGGGCAAGCCCGCCTCAGAGAAAGTTGCACTTTCACCGTAGAGCGTTCATACTCCCACGTCGTCCGCAAGAGGTTTCAGAATGTCCACTGCGTCTGCAGGCCAGCGTCTCTTCCGCTATCCATCTGCGCGCCCATGCACCGACCACGCGGTTCACGCGCATGCAGCGGCAGGCGCTGGCGCTAGTGTGAGTCTGAGCGATGAACGCGTCACTCGTCCGTGCTGCTTTGAACGTCCAACGGGCCTCTACTGCACGGCCAGATATGGCCGTCTCGTATGGTCGTTCGGCGAGCCTCTGCTACCTCATGAAGCGACGCCATTGGCGTCATATCATGTGGAAGAAAGAGAGGGGTCCACATGACTGCCCTTGATGACTGGCAGAGATATTGGCAGCAGCCGTCGGGTGTGCGCGTGTTTCCCGCGCGCCGTTCAGCGGACCGCGCGGTAGGTGCATCAAATGCCGATCACGTAGCTCGCATGGTCAGGGCAAGAGGCTTCAGCCTCGCACACTTCTCGTAGCTCTCCCAGCAGCGAAGCTTGAAGTCATGACTCGGACTTGTTCGCGGAGGAGGCTAAGAGCCTTCATTCTCCGCGGCCAGGAAGGATGCACAACGCCCAGCCCAAAGCCTCTCCATGTCGACCCCTGCTCTGATGCCTGCATCATCTTTGCTTCTTAAGGCTCGAAGAACGACTTCGTGACTCTGACAGCTACGTCGATCGGCGATTCCTCCTGCACGTTTGTTGCAAGCATGTGCTTGGGAAGGGCTCGACGTTTGTTCATGCGAAGTGATTGCGCCCTGCTGAGCCACCTGCGTGCGCCCAATCGCAGCGGCCTGCAAACTAAATCCGACGCTATTCGTTCATTGACTTGCAACCGATTTGATACTGCGCTTGTCGGCACAATCATTGCGGACCATTTTCTCGCTCTCAAGGCAGCATCTCGCGGCTTCATGCCACGCGGTCATGGGTAAGAGCTGAAACCCGCCCCCTCTCTTTCCCCTCAAGAGAACGAAACTTCCTTGCACGAGGTCGCGCAAAGACGTGGATTGGCGAAATATTGCATGTGAAGCTCTGGCGTGGAATG